TTGAAGCAATCGTCCGTGGAATTGAAACCCCACGAACCAAGTGGCCAGGAGAGGTGCTGGAAGCGGTCCTTGACCGTTTGGGAGAATGTCAAAAGGGGGATGGCCATAATGTCGTTCTTTATATAGCGAGAAGTTTCAGTATGCTATTACCCTCGAAGAACTGAAGAAGCAAGCGAATTCTGTGATCACCAGTATTGCAGGTCGTCTGTGCTCACAGAAACGGTTCTTGGAGGAGTCCATGAAACGTGTACATTTACAAAATACGCACTTCGAGGAAAATACGCTACACGAGTCTAAGGTTTATCTAGATGTGAAGGAAAAATATCTAATGCTGATGCAAGAAGCACAGGGACGTGAGATAAACCAGACAAAGTAGACGCGGAAAATAATATTGGAGAGCGTAGACCCGCTCATACTTGGAGCATCAAACTAAGCGGCGAGTGGATATGCTATACAGAATCCCCTAAGTCAGTGACCTTGCAAGGCAGTTCCAGGTAGCATAACAGTCTTGAGAAAGCTACTTGCAAATAATCAATTAGCAACTGTTACCCAGATTCAAGGTGTGAAGGAACAGGCACTGTGATGATCTCAAGATCTTTGCGACTGATGAGGATATCATGAAATCTATGACAGAGGAAGTTGAAAGGTTTCTTGATGTGGTAAGACTAGAAGTAAATTCAGCAAAGTCAGCCACTAATACCAAGGTATGCGCTGATAAGGCGGCGCTATTAGAAGGAACTAAAAGGTACAAATACTTTGGAATAGTGGAAGAGAGGACTAGTACACTTACCCGTGAAAGCTATGATAAAGTCCGAGCAGAGATTTCAGTGAGAATTGAGCGATTAGCCACTAGTGCACCAAATGGCAAGAACTTTATCAAAGCTGTGAATGAGCACACCATAAGTTTAATAAATTATTACATACGGGTGCTCAAGTTGAAGTCAGAAAGCTCCAAAGCTATAGACCACGTTTTAGAAAGTTACTAAACAAGAGCGGAATTCACAACGAACCTTCATGTTTGAAAAGAGTGTACCTGCCAAGGGACGAGTTAGGACGTGGACTTCATAATGTTGAGCAGAAGAGTGATCTTATGCTTCTCCAGCTACATAATGTCCTTGTAGATACTGCACCCATTTGTACCAGAAGGGCAGCGATTTTGAAGCAAGAGAAAGTTCATAACACGTACTTAACAATTATTGTGCCCAATCTAAAGACTGAGTATAACGTCGCAAAAAATCCTACCGTTGAAAACGTATTAGCAGCTCAGAAGGTGTCCTTGTAGAGCGAAATAGAAAAGAAAACCCACCATACAAAGCTATAAAAGTTGCGGACGAATAAAATCTTGTCCATAGCTGATTCATCAATATGGCTACGATACGAAAACATTACCCCGTAAGATGATACTGTAAACTCGAAGACAGAAATATGTTTGAAGCTAAGAAAGGAATGTGCCAACATGGGAACGTGTGAAGACGGTGGACTATCTATCAAGTACGAAAAAATGTTATACCACGACGATAGTAGAAGACACAATAAAGTCCGCAATGTATTTATGTGGGACTCTGCAAAGAAGTATGATCTGCAAGCATTCCATGCATGTGAAGCTATTCTATTCATGAGATCGTGGGAATGAGAAAGTGAAAATCAGAGTCGACACACCAATCAGAGCTGCAACTAGAATAAGAGCTGATCGACCGGAACCTAGTATACGATAAGAAGCGACGTGAAGTAATTCTCATTGAGGTTGGGATCAGGACGGATTAACAGCAGTCGAAACCGAGAAAAAGAGAAAATATGAACTACTTACTAATAAGCATGGATCAGAGATGAAAAGCAGGACCAAAATAATTCCGCATGTGACGACTTGGGCTAGGATTGTAACGAACTTCCATAAACGCTGTGCGGAGATCAGTATATCTGATCACGTTGCATACATTTAATAGATAGTTCTCAAGAAGACGCTCGAAATCAACTCCTTCGATACTCATTATGAATTTCTCGACTAAATGAAAACGACGAGCACAATAAATCTGATCGCGGAACAAGTACAGTCAGAGTGTCGGGACACAATCTAGCGCCAGAACCAATAAAATGAAAATGAAAGCTAACCTCAACATTCTTTTCCTTAATATATGTATATCTATCAAATCAATATCACATGGAGGTTATATATATATATATAGTAGATATACATATATTAAGTTTAATAAGTTTATTAAGTCTGAAGTTTAATGAGATTAAAATCTAAGGCTAATCACGATGATGTAAGAAACATAGTTTCTAAACAAATCCATACCTTATACCTTTACAAGACTTCAAAAATCGCGGTTCTTATTTAGACTTCGAATCTTGAATAAATAATCTACTTTGACTGAGAAATGTACCAAAGATATCTGCACATAATTTATAAGATCTTCTTGAGATTTTATACTCAGGACACAACTTTAAAAAAAACATCCAGATTGGCATATTCACGCTATTTGCAATTGGAACTATGATTTCCTTAATGCGCTGTAAAAAGCTAAATGTTTCTTTTAAATGATAGCGAATGAAAACCCCCTTAGCCATAATTACAGAAACATCGATAAAGGATCATCTCAAGAAGCTTTCCAACTTAAAAGATCAGTCATGTCTACAGATATTATTTTGATTGTAGCAACACCGTAGTGTTTCTCCAACTAAAATTTAATTATGAAGCATAATGCAGTCTTGATATTTAAGCTCAATTTTTTATGACAGTTCTATTCTGAGTAATTAAAAAATTGAACGAGAAGGCCAGAATTCCCAAATACTAGTTATTTTTATCCCACAGCTCTCCTATTTATGTATGAAGCACAAAAACTATGCTTCACTTAAAGATTTGGTTGCCTCCTTGCAATATATTCTTGCCTTGAGTCGAAAATACACTATTAAAAAATGATTTTGCTAATAAATGACCAGCACATACATTACTGATACATAAAAACAGATATATAATTTTCAAAAACAAACTATCGATACATGAATAAACAAAAATAGGAAACAAATATACTTTTAAAATTGATAAACAGCGAAATAAGAAATAATGTTTACACGCCATTATTGTCCCTGATCCTGATCTCAATATAGATGAAAACGTGTGAAAGGAAAAAAACACATAAGTGAAAATAAATTAAGATACAAATGATCTTTCGTGCTATGATAAAAACGGATAACCGAGCAATTAGAAGTACAAAATCCATATTAATGCTAATGAATATGAAATAAATATTTTAAATAATATGAAATTATTCAAATAATTTCCTTCCTAGCAGGCTTTGATCACAAAAAATGTAATGCAACTCCGTACAGAAATTTTTAAAAAACTTGGCTAGCATGATTTTAATTATGATATTGGAATGAATAGATTAGCATCAATTAGAACCATACCGAACAAAAGAGAGTGTAAAAGCATTACATTTAACTAATACATAAAATTATTACATCGTCCATAAGTCATTTACAGAAAACAAGTAATATTTTGTTGAAGTTATTACATGCATGAATAATCACAGAAAAAATGAGATCTGACCACATCAATAATCAAAAAGAAATGAGAAGCCACAAAGAAACTTATGTCAAATATTATGGATAGAAAATGGAGCGAAAATGAACATTACTAGCACCAATGAAAATCTGTTAACCTCATATCTGTAAAACCAATTGTTTTCTAATGCCAAACTCTTGCAGAACTTAAGGTGATAAGCATTACCATGCGAAATCTACCTGGAAACACTATCATATGAATTAGTCTTATTGAAATTAAAGCGTGACTGGGCTAATAACTACTTTCTAACTCATTGCCTCATAATTTAGTCAGCAGAAATGGGCAGCATAAACAAACAACCCACTTTTCCACTAATTACACTGGCTTGTTTTCTGCATTAATTAGCATTTTTCGAAATAATCAGTTACTTAAAATTAGCCTACATTGAAAGGCCTCATGAAAGGCACAATTTCAGAAAATGTTGGATGTAATGAAAATAATTTCGCCTCATTTAATAAATATTCAATTTTCGACACATTATTATCCATTTCACTGACGAATGTTTTTAGGTATTTTTTGATGTTTTGCATTTCTTCACACAAATCTTGCCTGTCCAGATATTCCATAATTTCTTGTGGTGATTTCAATCTTTTATTCTCAATTTTTTCTTCTTCACATTCCTAAGGAATGAAAAAATAAATTATAAAAAGTTTTGATGAAGAGAGACCTTTTATCAGTTGACAAATAGTATAACATGTAATTACATTTCCAATCATTCATAGAAATCAAACATTATGAGAAAAAAAACTTAAACAAATGAAATCTCGATTCCTCTTTCGTTTGCTAATTTGTTAACTACTAATTATTTGTAACTAAAGTATTTTTTTACACATTAAAATCATTTCTAACCTGATCACAGCATTCCGTCTCAGCATCTTGTGAAGTATTCTGAACGACAGAATCGATAACAATACATATTGTTTCGATTAAATCAGCTGAGTCACTTATACTTTCATTTCCAAGTCTTTCACGTTCCAAATTCAAAAGGAGTTCAAATGTTGAGTTGAGCTTTGATGAAGCAATTTTAGCAACAGAAGTATTTTTTAAGGGATATAAATTGCACAGATGACAGTGCTAAAACTGAATACTATTACTTCTCATCTTTTTTTTGCAGAATCAATATTTGATACGACACGCAGGGTGCTAGCAAAAAAATAGTAGTTAATGCTGAGCATATTGATAAACTTAAGCAGTTGTTAATGAGAATATTTTGATCCGAAAAGGCTACAGAAATATCATTACTATGACTTTTTAAGTAACAAACCTTATTGTGCGGCAAGCCTCCCACACGTGATGTTCCTGCACCAGTAGCAGTAATAGCATCAAAGCGTCCCCAATTCAGCGGCACATTTTCAGTATAATATATTTCTACCCAAACATTTTTATTTACCCAAAACTCAGGTTCAAACATCGGAGGCCGAAATATGATCCTTAGAAATGGGTTCGAATCGGGAACTAATTTAATCAGCCGTTGCAGGCAGAACATATCAGTCTGAAATATGCAAAAACTTATGAATATCAGAAAATTTTTTTTCATATTTTGTATAATATAAAAACAAATGAAATATTCGCTGAAGATTTAACAATACAAAAAATAACTGAAGAAATCACAGAACTCACGTCTGAATGCTTTTCACAGATTACAACTGTGACATAATGCGTTATGTAATTGCAGTAGAAATCGCAAAAATACATATTTACACGTGAAGGATCCAGCAATGTCATTGCTGGTACCAGCATACGAACATTTCCAAACGGTGAATGAGTGGGCAAATTTCCATCAGGCAACAACCGTGCGGAAAAAAACAAACCTAGAATACAGATTAACAACACTGAAGTAAAATGAATTGAGCAAAAAGAAAGAACATATACTAAATAACCAAATAATGCGTTTGTAATGCAAAGGATGCTTCACTCTGATGAATTCTGTCTCATAAAATAATAAGTGTGAGAATATTTCAAGCAAAAACTGCTGAAATATGTCATAAGTCGCTAAGGCAAAATTAAGAAATGTTTGTCCAATGATTATTAAAAAACCTACCACTTATGGCTCCATTAATTGATGAAGCTGCCTGACCATTGTTGTCTTTTACATATTTCTCCATTATCCCTCCTCGATGGAACTAACAAAAATGTCAAATAAAATTGCATATCAAAACTACTAAAAGAAAATGCTTCAATCGTAATAATCAATTGTTGTAAAAACCCTTTTCTAAATGCTTTCTGCATAATTCTGAGTAAATAAGCCGCTTATGACGAGTTATGCTGTAAAATTTGGTGGAAAAAATAACCGATTAAACTTTAAATAATTCAACAAAAATCACTGCAACAAAAATATCCTAATAACCTGTATATCATCATAATATATTTTTGGTTTGCATCGATAGAGAAAACGAAATGAATGCATGACTGTGCCCACGAAATCTAATGACTTCTTGTAAAGTGCATGCATCTCCTCAGTTGAGAACACTGAATTACGACGTAGAATAAGAACAACATATATTTCTTATTTATTGCGAGTGAGAATGAGAATTCGGATTAAATATATTTGTAGAAATTCAGATTCAGATAGATAGTTATAAACCTGCTTTAACTCGAGCTGTTCCAAGCGCGATAACTGAATTCTCTGGATCACGAGCTGTTAACTCTAACTAAATCAAGTCTAATAATATTGATCAAGACAAAACTGTATTACAAATAAATCCCCCCTTGATTTTTCGGCTATACTGAGATAAAAAGTCAGGATCTCAAAACTTTGACCAGTTTCATTACGCATTATGGTAGAAAAAATGTAGGTAAATCAATGTTTTTGACTATATTACACGCTAATTTCAATACTGAGACCAATCTTAAAAGAATGGAAATTAATGTTAGGAAAAACTTATTTAAGATCCTGACTTTTTAACTTCCTGACTAACCCAGATTTTACCCCCATACAATAAGTCTAGGAAATAAGTAACCAAGACCAAATATACTTATGGTGTCTAGTCAATAAATTCTTTACGCTTGATGCAACGTATCGTCACAGAACACTAAAGTTCCAGCACACCACCTACAGTTAAATCATCAATACAAAATGGTCAGAAAAGTGCTAATTTCTAGCTGCAAACCATGATAATCGGAATTTTACTTCACCTTGTAAATCGTGCCTGGCGTAGTTTTTAGCTTGTATGACAAGACATTTGCAGGAAAATCGTATGTATCACATTTAACACCTTCCCAAACTTCTAGTTTGTAAGTATATTTCAGCATTTCTAAAACCAATCATTTTTGGTGGGTCTACTCAAAATGTTCACATTGAATGCTACATTATATAGTACTTTCAATCATTCGATTTTTTCTGCTGCATTTACCTCGCTCAAGTTACATATTTAAATTTATGTAAGTTTTCTCATTACTGTTTCTTACTTGCGAAACTCTCGAAAACAAAATAGGTAAAAATTCAGTTCACAAGTTGAACGAACTCTCAATCGCCGGTGTTTTCCAATCGATGCTGCACACTAAGGCAGAAGTCTGAACATTAATATTTATTGGTGTTGGACGCGGAGGAGCAGAGAAATCTTGATAGAGCGGTACATCAGGTCTCACGGAACGCAACGAAAGATGAGGCAAACTTGGACCTAAGGAACAAAAGTGTATGATATTCAACAAAATAACTTCTCAAGATTTCTGTGGCTTTCCAAAGAATAAATTGGAATAAGCAAAAGAAGCATAAATAAAGCTAAATGAATACGTTTCAAACAAGTGATTTGTAATATAAAGCGAACTGCAAACAATAATACAGAAGTAAATATCTAAAAACAATAATACTTTGTGTAAGGAGTTCAAATTGCCTCATCCTTTGAGAAACCAACAAAAGAATAGTAAAAACATAAAACGAAACTTGACCTCTCAATATAGAAGGAAGGAAAGACCCAAACTTGAAATATTCAACTCATATGACGGTACCATTTGCATGGTTATTCTAGTGTCAATCACTTTATTAATTTAATTTTAATAAAAATAATGCGAACCAGCATGTGGAGTGGCAAATTCAATCGGTAGTCGGGGTAAACGAAATGGAGGAGATGGAATACCAATGCGTATTAAATTTGATTCAGACTTCATAAATGGCGATGACATCTCCGGTGGACGAGCATAAGGATGCAGAAAACGAGGTGGTCGACGTTGCCAAATCAATAATGGCCTTAATGCTGAATCTACTTCTTTATAAGGAAATTCTGGTTCACTCCACATTTTGACCTAAACAGTGCGCGAACTGTATTGCAACAAATAGCAATTAATTGACTAACTCATATATTTGTTTATTCAACCACACACTACATCAATAACTTCTCTGCATTTAATCTCCAATTTATTCACTTATTATGCCATACGGGGATTCAATCATTTATTCTTTTATTTATGCATTCATCCGTTTAGTAATTTATTTATTCATTCAATCACCTTGTACTCAACAATAATAAACACTGAAGTAGTGAATTAAAATAATTGTTGAATAGTTTTCTCGAACTTGAACTTATGATTTCAAACTTGTGAACCACGAGAATAATTTTAATAGAGATGAAATGGTAAACTGCTACAGTAACGAGCCGAACAAACCACCCTTTCAGCCGTAAAATCAGGAAAACTGAATCAGCAGTGAATTAAATGAGTTCAAATTACATTTTAAAAGATTGGTTACAAGAAACAACTTTACAATTTATATTGTCTGTTGCAGCTTAATAATATTTTGCTCGTTTCAATTCTACACCACATTTACTTATGTGTGCTTCAATGCTACCAGATAGAAGTTAAATTTTTGGTTAATAATGTGTACATATATATGCGTATGAATTATTTATTTGTTTGTCTAGTTATTAACAAAAACCTAATCAACACTACATGAAATTTATAGCTTAAACTTTACAATGTTCCTGTGATATGAATGAAGTCAATTCAAATGCATTTGTAGAAAGCATCATTATTATGTGAAAAAATGAATTCTGATTTTTGAATTCTGCTATCTCTACAAATTTATCTGTTACAGTGGACACTTCAAATAGATCTCACAAGATTTCACTAGGAGTCTCTTTGTTTGTTTACATCAATTATGATATGTTATTTCTTATCTTTATGTATCTTCTGACTTTAAAATATATATTATTCAAGACTTCATGCACTATTTAGTGGTTTGTAATGAACAGTAGAATAACTCTTACGGCACAGATAAATGTTCACTGCATCTCTACAAGATTTGCATCGGACTCCCAAAACTTCTTAATGAAGGTATATTATTTGCATGTATCAATGCACAAGTTTAATTACTTCCTTCATATATCATTTGCGTTTAGGAACTGTAAAAGAGTATAAACCATTATAGAATTGAAACCGCAGTCAACCAGTCTGATTTCTATAATACACTACTTCATTAACTATCTTTACATATTGCAAAGTGATAACTGCTCATAGTCTACAAATATTGATCTTTTCGAAAATTCGTGTTCGTAAGCAGTAATCATAAACAGTCACTACTGTGAACTGATTTTACTGATGTAAACGAAGAAAAATTCGATAAATACCAAATTTCATACAAAATTCTTAACTTCGGTTTTAGCATGACATGACCATACCGAGTGTGTCCTGCATTTACAACATGTTATGTAAGATTTTTGTATTTGTGAGAGAGAAGTCGAGATGATGCAAAATTTCATTGAGCATTGAGATCGAAAAATTAATATTATGTAAGAAATAAAAAATTCAACACAACAAAATAAACGAATAAAAAGTAATGATAAGCCACACTTGATAAAAATGTAATAGATGGGAGTAGTATGTTGACAGATGGAATACTTTTATAGAATACTGCAAACAATAGTAAATTACATTAAGCAGAAGCAACGAGAAAAAATTCTTCACTTACAAACATATTTTTTTTTGTGAAAATGAAACACTTGTCTTTTATAAGGTATCACCATATTTTTTCATGATTAATTTTTCTCTTGGCTTTCTTTCGATTTACAGAAGAACCTTAATAACATTAAATTAGGAAACCAAATATAGATAACATATTCATCCCGATAACAGTTTTTATTGAATCAATTTAGGAAGTTTTCGATACAGTTAAGAAAAACATCTGGTAATATTGCTTTTTAAGTAATTTTCTACGATAGAATTAAGTATTGCAGGTATCTACACAGCGTGTTCTCTTTTCCTTAAATATCCGAAAATCACACTGTCTCTTCTTCAAAAACAGTTCCATCCCAATTATGCCTATAACTACCTAGTCCTATGCCTTTCACCTAACAGCTTTTTCAAAAAGAGAGAGAAAAGAACCTGACTTTATGATAGAGGTTTGTGAATCACTTTGACATGAGACACTACTTGCAACTACGTATTAAAGATATTCAACAGGGCTATTTTTTTTCAAATGAGCATAGAAACTCCGAACGCATAGAGACGGTTGGAGATGAAGTTTCTGATCCAATAACTTTGCACTGCAAAACTCATATGAATTAATTTCAACTTCACACGAAGCTAAATTTCCTTGGAAAGAGAAGCATTCTAACTTCAATCAGCTTAGAAAGAGTTTAGCAAGAAATTTAAGTTTCAATTCTTTGCACATTTTTAAAAACCTTTAACGGAACAATTGAACATTTTTGCCAAATATGTTTTTAGCATGATATGAAATTTTCAAGCACATTTTCAGCACATAAAAGAGTGAAACAGCAACAGAAAAATCTCAAGGTTGCGAAATTTATTGAATACGAAATGAGAACGCGATCATTTGTAGAATACTATAAACATTGTAATCATTTACCTTGATTATATCTGATGATGACGAAAGTTCGCTAGGACCCGTTCTTCCCGACTTTTGCCTTCCACCATGCTTTAACACTATCATGCCCTTCCTCCGTAACAACTATTAGCTTCTGAGCACTGTCCGACCACAACAAAATACCTAAGAAATATTCATAATTAAAACATTAAGATACACGAAAAAAAAAAAAAGAAAAATTGGTATGGAAGCAATGTTGAGGTATGAAAATCCATATTCAAACAAAGATTGGATCTTAAAAATAAAGCCAAAAAAACCACATGAGATAGAACTTAAAAACCAAAAAGATCGCGAGATATAGGACATATTACATAAACTGGACTAAATAAGAAATTCAATAAATCAATATGATTTGCCTTGGGAATCAACGTATTCTTTCAAAGTGAAGTATTCTTCTTCAGAATCAAACGATGAGTAAACAGCAGCATCTGAGAACGTCAAGCGTTGTTTCTCATCCTCCCACAGTTGTATTTGATCGGTTACAGTTATTGGTACGCTTTCAATTATTTTTCCAGAATTTGTAGTCAAAACCGATGGATGAGCATTTGCACGTAAATAGGAGATGATTTGTGTTGCTGTTATACCAACCTACAAAAAAGAGGCTTTAAATTTATCTTACTAGAAAGAAAACTAATGAACTAAAATCTCATTTTAAGTAGATTGACACAGATTTATTCCGATAATTAACTGAAATAGGTAGCAAAGAACTAAATGGAACAAAATATAACAATTTACAAAAATCAGTGATATATTAGAAAAGTAAAGTTAAAAACGAAACACCTGAAAAGCTCTTCTAACAGCTTCGCGAGACAACAAACCTACACACATATCGTTAAATCTGAAACTAATTTTTTTGACAGTAGAAATTAAAAGTATATTTTAGTACTACATGTGATGTTCTTATACTTATTATAAATATTTCGACAATAAACGAAATAAATGACCTGTAAAGCATTTCTGTAAACGTCGAAAGTATTGCAAGCTGCAAGTTCGAATCTGTGTATGCATAAACTCTATAATTCGTTTCTACGATTACAAACCCGTGCTGATTGCGCTTCTCCAAACTTGTTTTTGATGCACAAAAAGAACTGGCCAAATGATTGAGCAAAGGAGTAAGGAAAAAAAACCTGTAAGTTAAGAACAATAGAAACTTTATATAATTATTCCAAACTTTCGTTTCAGAAACTACTTACTTTAAGCAAAATTCTTAATTACAACGATAAATTTACCCGTCTTTCCGCTTTCTTATAAAAATAAGTCCCAATTCCCTGAGATGCATTAAGAAATCTTTGATCGATTCTGGCCAATTTTCATCGATCATAAATGCCTTACTGCTAGAAAGTCGATCTCTACTGAATGAAGCACTGCTGAACTTGGCAACACTGTATGTACAACCAGAAAATAACGTTAATCTAAAGTAGCCATCAATTTATCTAAAGTAGCCATCGAAACAACACGAACGAGTATTTTAAAATAATTACTGCTCCGTAGCTGTTTCTATTAGATTTTACAGAAATATGAAAAAGTTGGAATAAAATAAGAGAGAATACAATTATGAACCTAAATAAGAAATCCAATTTGATTATAATATCGTTGCCATCAGTCTCTTGCATACAAAAATAATGTAACAGATAGGTCCAGATTTGCTCCGTTCGACTAAGCAAAAGGAATTGGAAACCAGCTGATGTTATTTCCATATATTCATCACCTCAAATAATTTTTGATACCAAGTTGGAAAATGGTATTACAATCATAACATCACTGAACTCAGATACAAAAAGTAAATTCAAGCTCTAGTAGATATGAAATACCGAAAAATTGAGAAACCTGAATAAAATACAAATGTGACTGACTTACATCCATTGTTCTTCTTTCTTTAAAAATTCTGATTCATTGAAATTTTCAGTAGAAGATTAACAAATAACAATTATAAACTAATCGAAACAAATTGATTTAATATCAAATGCTACAATAAAATATTTAAGAGTCCATTACACTACTGCAGAATACTTGAACAATATAAAGAAATAATAACCATTGTTAGAACTTGTTAACCCAGCAGACCTGAACAGCAGCTTGGTTGTACCACTAACGCCTTGCTCACTTTTTTGTGATGGTAAAGCTAAATAATACAATATGCATTCCCATCTTTCAATAGCTTTTTTTCCAAGATCTTTATTTGCCGATTTGCGAATTTTTTCGTCACAGTTAGTCACCACAAAAAGTTTTGATGCTCGATATTGCCCAACATGAGTTGCTTTAAGGTAAGCACGTCGATAAACAGGCTAAAACTTAATTGTATCAATATTATTTTTAAAAGCAGTAACTAGCTTTGACATATTAAACATCACCTGAATGTAATTCATGTAATCCAAGCTCAGCCATTCCACACAGAATTATTCTACAACTAAACTACGCTGGAGTACAAAAAATTTCTAGCTGCAAAAGCTTTAAATTAAAAGACTGAAAACAAATTCAGTTTAGACAGACAAATTTTAAAGAAAACTAATTTAAAAACCTGAAATCAACAATTTGAAATATAGAAAGTAAGAATTATTTATATATACATTAAGAATAATTTCATCGCTTCCAATAAATATCCTTAATTTCACCAAGGCTTCGACGTGACAAGCAATTTTTTCTTGGTAATCTGAAGCTGTCCATGTGTGCCACTGACTGAAAAATAAATCCTGTTGTTTTAAAAATTAACCATTAGTCTAGATGCAACGTTGTTTTTTCGGCACAAGTTATTTTCAATAAGTTTTTTTACTAGAAGTTCGCAATACAATTCTACGAAATATATTGAGAAATATCTAATTGACTTTAAAATTCGGAAATAATTTTAGTTTTTGCGCAATTTAGAAAAAAAAAATGTAATAAAACAGAAACATTGACAGTCATTACTTTAATTAAAATTAGGACTGATTTTGTATCATCAGTAAGTCCGAAAATATGAAACAGAAGAAAGAATACAGTAATTGCAAACTGAACAGTAAAACCATCCCATAGAGCGAAATTCAAAAAATTAAATTAGTAAGACTGTTCAATTAACTCGTAACAAAGACATATATTTGAAAGTGTTTATAATCCCAAATATTTCAGAACTGCTTCTTTTCTTCCATATGTTCACAGTTATAATATAGTGTTAGCTGTAACATATATTCTCGAATATTTGGGATTATAAATTAAATATAACGACATAGGAACAATGTATTATTTTTGTACATCAAGATATCAGATGAGTGGAAATAGGATGAATGAAAGTCCCCGCTAATCATCACATTTCAAATCTGAAGACTTAAACCTAATTATAAGAAATGCAGATGCCATTCATGAATTTAACCTTTAGTTTCTCAATACGATAAAAATTGTGAATTTTTCCATCAGTAAAATGTCGAAATGATAAGAGAAAATGCTATTTGCAGGATGTTCTGGTGCAATTAAAAAGAAAAACTTTACAAACTACTCTTTCTATTTGATAAGTATCAATCACTAAATTAAGACAAAACTATGAAACTCGATGATTTACTTAAACATCGACAATAGCGAAATTTCCAAGTATTATATAGACTCACCACTTCTTGTTGACGTCTCGTAACCACATCGATTTTAGAATCAGTAGTTGAGAAAGCTCCGGCAAAAGTCGAAAAATGGCAAACGAAACTGCAGGAGATGAATAAATCTTATCTAGTTGCTCACCAGTACGACAACTCAGATATGCTAATATAGGCTGACCATTCCAATTCAACATCGAATGCCTGTCACAAAGTTTTGTGGACGAAATTAAATTCTCGAAAAACCTCAATTATGTTTGTTTTTCTTGGCAGAAAATTGCATACTCAATCAAGTATAGAAAATAATGACATCTTATGTGGAACATCTAATATCTTGGAAACGAAAATTAATTGATCGCAGCAGAATAAGCATTGTTTAGGCACTTTGCATCATTATTACAGAAACATTTCAAAACTGGTAACTTCTCTGGTTTGACTGGTCGATCATATACAAGAAACATTCATTAATAAATAAAATCCATTTATTCATAGCACGAAAGAATTTACCAATACACCCTAGGATATTTTGATATACCATTGTGCAAAGTAACTTTCTTGTGTACTGAAAAAAATCTACTAATTTTCAAGCAAGTACAAATTTCATCTCGCAAAACAAAATTTTTTGAGAAAAAATAGTGAATCAAAAAAATGAAACGAAAAAAAGACACCACAATTAGTGACAAAATAACTGTAATGGTGAATTAATTATGAACAAATACAATTTATCAATGTAGAATACTAACAAAAACAAGACGAATCTTACGAACTACTTAGCAAGACTACATCCAAGCTATATTTACCAATTTTGGTATTTTCGGTCCCAAAAAAAGTTGATGTAAAAGTGAAGGTTAGCATACATTAAACCAGTTTCTGAAGCTTAGTACTTGAAATAAAAAGTACAGTCTTGAGACACTTTTGAGTTCATCTCAATAAATGCAAAACATGTCGATGTAAAGTAGTTTTTTGATTCTGAATTAAGAAAGGACAAGGTGAATTTTCGCGAAGTAAAGACTTTCGGAAATAGAACATACTTCGCGATTACATTTATAATTATATGGTACAAAAATGGCAGCTGGATGGCTACCTCAAATGACGAATTAGATTTCTTAAATAACAAGAAACCTTAAATGCTAAGATTATATAGTAAGGAGAAACTTATTACAGGTTTTCAAGGAAAGCTTATAAACTATTCAGCAATACAATTTGATACTACTAAAACACAACACCTATGACTTCTTTACCATTAGCAAGCATCAGAGTTGTTCAAAAATGAAAAACCGAAAACAGTGCGCATTATTATTTAATGGAGTAAATTATTGTTTTCGCTGATCATTACCGCTAATAGCAGCAAAATCAGCATTCAACACAACAGATATAGTAGCAGCAGGAGCAACAGTAGTAGTTAAGGAACACGGAGACGTGAAAATATATTTATTAGTGGTGGTGGGGACAGTAGTTTTTAAAGCATTGGTAGTATAATTACCAATATTGACAGTGCTGACACTGCTACGTAAAATGGACAGTTCATTAATACTGGTAGAAGGGGCAGTTAGTAAATTACTCGTAGTTGCATGCAGTGAAGCACTACTCGAAGTTTTAGAAGATGTGACCACAGAATTCAGAGTTGGTTGCAGGGCCATTAAGATGGCTTGATATAAAGAAGCTGCTTCACGCACGTGATTGAACTTCAAGACAAAAGCCTGTAGTTCCACGGAGAGTGGCTAAAAATCCGTGTTTTAATATTTCTCCATGATAGCATACTTCTCAGCAAATGACAACTTTTCTGAGACTTATATTTAGAATCATTATTAAGGCGGAAATTTTTGACTACAAATCTTTAACAAAACTTCACAAGAAATTCATAGCAATACAAAGAAAAACAACATACACGAACATCCCAAATGCGACTTCGAATAAGTGAGGATAGAAAAACGCAAACCACCCGCACTTGACGACATTGTGCGAAAAGTGTCTGCCCCGGTTCATTACAGCGACGCATACATGTTGTAATGTAGCTGTTTAAATATTCTTGGGGGAATTCAATTTGCTGAAGAACAATTCAAAAACAAAGTCACAACATTGATCGAAAAACCTAATTTCGATTCATGTTCACATTAATGAATGTAAGAAATCTTTTAAGCTTAAATGCAGGTCCAATAATTATTTGCCACAAAAATAAAAAATAGATTAGCTTGAGTACTTGAAAAAATCTATCGAAAATTGCAGATTCAATTTTCAAATGTGTAAGGTAATCTTATATATCATTGTGATGTATGTTCTGAATCTTTGCATGTTTTTTCGTCTATGATCGAAATAACTGATGTGAATATCGTAAAGTAATCAATTCAGCTTACAATTTATAAGAGCTTTTTAGCTTATTTTTCACAAGTTAAAGTTGAACAATCCATTAATTTGCAAAACATACAGTGCATAATTTGTTAACAACTTCCATGGCTTGCACTGAGATCTTCATTTTCGCAAGTAATTTGAAAAACCTGCAAATCAATACAGCTTCATGAAAGTACCGAAAAGAACGAATGATTAAGATTTCTAAAGAATATGCGTTCACCGAGGCAGTTCATAGCAGTTTTCCGTAATTCGATTCACAATAACAGCAGCAGCAATAGTCGGATTTTCGTCAATATATCTGTCGAACTGAAATTTTGAGAAAAAATAAAAAGTTTCCAATTTTAAGGAATGGACAAATAAAAGTAACACTGCATTTATGGAAAATCTTCTTAGGAAAAAATACTTTTGTTAGGGGAATATCTACTATTTTCGTCAGGGAAGGATCTTTCGCAATAGCTTCCGTTAACTTTTGAGAATCTGTTCTTGTAATGATTGACACCAAAGATTTTTTCAATAATTCTGCAGCTTCAGCTGTACTCAATGACTGTTTTTTATCGGACGCAACTGATGATCTGCTGCTCTGAAAACACAGTATTTGTTTCTAAAAATTACAAAACAAAGTGTATGATTCGATATAAAATCAAACTTTAGACGTCAGTATCTCTTCATTCGAAATATCATCTGCTAATTTAACACTGCTATTCTCCTCATCCTTTTCTAAAGAGCAACTAGACGTTTCGCAAGACATATATAAACTGTCATGATCGGATGTAGATGAAACATTAGTTGTTGCACTGACAAACGAAAATGTACTCTGAAAACTGCATTCACTTTTTTATTGGAAAAGTTTTTTAGCAGATATTTGTAAACTTAGAAGAACAAAAAATAGAGCTTTTCTTACGGAATTTAGATTACGAAATCATTAAAAAAGCACTAGTAATAATATAAAAACTCTGAAGATATTTCATTCTTCCTTCGCTGCTTTCCCATAATTCTTTTTCAATAATGAGACTTACAGACGATGATAGCGTAGGTGACGATGGCCATCTCTGTTTATTGACTTTTGTTTCCATCCATAATGGTTCCAGAAGACAAGGAAACAAAAACTGAACCTGAAACACATGCAACGTACACACGATATTTCAGCACAGAACCATGCAAAAAACACCCTACACTTATAAAAAGTCTAATTAAACTGACTCACTTCGTCATCAGAAACAGGCATCAACAGAGGCGTGATACGATGGAATCGAGGAGGAAGGACATCCATCAAATTACAGTTTTTAAATAACTTAAGAATTAGAGCAGATGACAACTTCTGAATTTCAGCTCTAAAAAATTTATTTCTCCGCTAAGAAAAGATTTAAAATAATCATAAATTCACTTCATAATTACAATAAAAACATGCAAAAAGTATGAAAAGTGATGTAAAGCTAGAGCGAAGTAAAATTTAATGAACAAAGTCATACAACGTTTTAACTTTTTGACTTGGCACTTTAAAACCTGCTGGTATGGTCACAGATGTTATCAAAGGATAATTCATTTGCCGGTCCTGAATTGCCATAATGTGTTCTCTGATATCAAAATCCTTCAAATGTAATAAATAAGACTTCAATCCCAAAAAAAGAACAAGAGAAAATGTGTAAATAGTAAACACCTCTTTTGGAATTTTCATCATGATAATGTCGACAGGAGAATGAGGAGTGATTTTGTCTAGTGCCTCAGTTAACAAACAACCAGTTATATATTTTTCGGGAGGCCCAATCCTAGAAGTGCCTAACAGTTCCACATCCTTATGTTTATCTTTTGAATTGCTGTCATATTTCTGCAAAAACAGCATAAAACTTCAAAATCATTAAAATAATTAAACAGTTAGTAATAAAGTGAGTCGTAGTTTGTTTAAAAGCATTTCCACGAAAATTACATAAAGTTTACCATAACTGTTAGGAAAAAACATAGGAAGGGGTTTTCAGCTATGTTATTTTTCCGTAAACCACCATCAAGTTCAGGAGACCTGAAAAAAAAAGATTGAAAGAAAATACACTAACTTTAGAAGTTGGGGAAATTTTTTAATACAGATTTTTTATCCAAAATTTTTTTTCAATGAAAACCTTTAACTGTCCAAAAAAAATTGGTCTGAATCCAAATTTTGAAACGAAAACAGAAATTTCAGAATAGTCTTATAATGAATGATAGGATAAAGTACAAACTAATTAACCTGTAGAGAAGATAGATAAGAATTACACGATGTCTCAAGTGCTCGGCTCCACAATATTGCTTAAAAAGCAGTAATATTGCAGAACCAACCGAAAAACAACTATGTCTGCCACTAAAAGCCTAAAAATTACATTAATCAACTTTTGCTAGATAAAATGAACTTGCATTAATGAAGCATTTGCTAAGAGCTTTAAAAATACTCGTAGTAATAATTAGGAATTGAATCATATCAATGCAAAACAGAAATGAAATTTGAGAAAGTGACAAAGAGAGAAAATAAAACTCACTTCAAGGAACGTATGGCCTATATATTGGAATGTTTGTACAGTAGATTGGCATAATCTATAAAATAAATGCAATGACTTGTCATTTATTAATTCAAATGTAACACTGCAATATAATTTAGATATCAATTTAAAAACTTGCTTCAGTATCACATCAAAATCTTTTGCAGTTATTTTTGCAGATATTCTGGGCGACATCAACAATTTTGATCATTAAGGCCTTTATCACACAGAAGAACTGTAAAATAACGAATGCTAATTAATATGGCACATTCAATTCATTAGTACTTAAATCGCGCTAAATAATAATACATCAAAAAAAGATGATAACAAAATTGTAAAGGCAACCTGAAATTTTGTAATTTCAAACCACTTGAATAATGAATTTTTTCTAACTCATTAACATGAACTGAATGGACTTATCCTAAATGGAGATTTTACATTTTTCACTATTACCGATATCATGAATCTTTACTGGAACATTTGAAAAAGTGGAGATAACATAGGAAAATGAATGTGTAACCCTGTTCTTCTCACTGAAGAGTTCAATAACTTTGCCCAATGAACAGACACAAAGGTCATTTCAATCATATCCATCGATTTTCTTATGTACAAATGTGAACCCGAAATTAAAACAAAGATAATTGAAACTCATTACTATATATTTGTCAAACATTTAAGTATTTATTCGATTTGGAACAGCAAAAATACGATGCATACAGATTAAAACTTTTTCTCCCATATTTACGTCTACTCTTATTCTGTGTTGGGATATTATTTTTCATATGCACCTTTGCTAAGCAATTAAAAAAAGGCATGAAATTTATTTACAAAAATATGAGGCATTCCCAAACAAGATTCCTGTATTTTGAAATGTACTCGTGTTCCTTCAAAACCTTTGCTATAAACTTCCAAGAATTGTGAAATATTTTAGATATTGCTGGTTTTATGTTTATCATGCTTTCTCTGTATTATTACGTCTAGTTGTGCGTTGACTCCGTTATTGTGATCATACTTCTCCCACCCCACGTTTCCAAAAAGAAATCCGAAGTCAATGTGAACGTTATGACCCGGTTGAACTAGTTTGCTGTCAGTTCAGGAGTGATGAACGCACGCCATCAAGCGAAAAGTTTTTGTATTTTAGTTGCTTTTCATGATGATAGTCGCTAAACTATAAATGCTATGATGACTTTGAGGAATACTAATTACTCAACAAAAATTTATTTGAGACAAATTTTAAAGAAGTATTACAGAAACTTAAGTTTACATATGCATCATTCATACACAAAGGTTAGATATACGAACTCAATGTTCTTGCAATTATTTGAAACAGTTTACTCATTTTGTCGGGTTCCTCAATAGTTTTTATTTTTTCCTTACAAGCATCTTCCTGAAATTTAAGCATTTGGACAGCTGCTGATAATCTTATAGTATCCAGAATGTTTGATCAGAGAAAATATGCAGTCTGAAAACGAACCTGACTTGTACAAATACCCAAAACTTCATTGAATTTCATATTACGAGGACAATCGTAACTGAAGCCTTTCCCGTCGAAGCACGCTACAAACTTTGCTGAGCAACCTTCGGCGTAAAAACCATTCAGGCGATTAGCACAATAGCCTTAAATATTTAAATAGTCTAGAGTTTAATTTCTCGTACAACGTAAGGTGAACCATACCTGTCAGATTTAAATTCCAATCATTCCAGTCGAGTGGCAAATTCTGTCGTTTGGCGTACAATGTGTTCGGTGGATAAGCAGCGTGAACTGGTCCAGTCTTATTACGACATTCTGCTATTTCCGTCTGTAATACTACCAGTAATTCATATTCTCATCTTACATAAAAGTTAAATAGCTTGAATAACCTCATCCTTGCACATTCTAGAAACTTTGTCATATCGCAGTGAATTGGTACAGTGAAGAGCTAAACCGGTTTCTGCAACACATAACATAAAGTCTGTTGGACAGTCATCTGCATAAATACCATCGGGTTTTCCCACGCAAAAGTCTGAAGATTATCTTTTTTTTGAGATCAATTTCCTTGAAAGTCGTATGTACTAACAAGTTTTAATAACACAATAGTTAAAATACTCACACAACTTTGTATCGAGGCTGATGAGATCTGTAATTAGGTAAGCTACTGGCAGTGGTGTATTTAGATTTGTTAACGTTCTAAAATTCATGCTCCTTTTATTGTCGTCGTTTGTAGCATTTACATCTTTGACTCTCACCCATCTTTTAACCTCTTCCGTCGTCGTTCTATAAGTCACCTCGACACATGAATTTACCGAATCCTAAAACAAAAACATTGCTTCAAATTACTTGAAATAATACCATTTGGGCAAGTGAATTTTGAAATATTTACTGGAGCGAGACACTTTTCTGACTCGGAATCGAAAATCAATTCTCCTGGACAAGAATAAGGTAGGGATATGCCGAACAAGCACATTATAAATCCTGGCGAGCATTTTTGCCCATATATACCGTCTGGTAGATTTTCACAATTGAAAACTGAAAGTCGGATATATTGACAAGTTTTAATAAAAAATATAGTTAAAAATCACTGTTTCCTGAATTTTTTCAACCTATAAAAATGCGAGACAAAGATTATCAACCTTCTTGAAGTGACCTATGGATATATGATGTTTGGTTTTGTCTCCACTGTGATGTTAATATTTCAACTTCACCGCCTTCATTGCAAGCATTTACGTAAGACTGAAAATGCAATTTGCATATTTTTCAGTTGCATTTTTTAGATAAAAAAAGTAGAAGGCTACATACAGCTGGAAGGCATCGTTCCGTTTGGGCATCAAAAATTAGGGAACCAGGACAGCGGAATACTGATCCTTCGTTCCTGTTACACTCAATAAATTGTGGAGAGCAGCCGGTTGCATATTTTCCATCCGCTTGTTTTTCACATGTCAGTCGTGGATATTGTAATGATATAGCCTTTTTAAGTTGTTTTTGTGGTTTTAATTTTGATGCAATATAATTGCCACCACAAGCTTTCACTACGGGCTAAAAATATTGTAGACTGTTCTTTATTTTTTTTAAATCTTTTAGTATTATGAAAAGATAAAATTTAAAATTAACCACTGGCAAGCATCTTTGAGTGGTGGAGTCAAATTTCAACAAACTACTCGGACATTTGTGTAGTTTCATTCGACCATTCATGCATGAAATGAACTTCTCTGAACATCCTCGAGCATATTTTCCGTCAGGTATACCAATGCAAGATGACACTTTAACAAAAATATGATTGATATTTCATAATTCAAACTTAAAATAGATTCAGTTGAGATTTGACAACTTACCAAAGGGAGCGAATGGAAAAACTTCTCCAAAATCAGCAGATAATGACGCATTGAATGGTGCATCTATTGGGTGCAAATGAAGCAATCCTTCTTGAATATCTTTAATTTCAAATGTTGCGAATTTTAGTTCCTGAATTCCCAACTCCTTGTGCGTTTGAATGCATTCTTGTACATATTGCTATAAAATCTCTTCTTGTTACATTACTTTCGACGTTATATCTATGAATATAGAGAGCGGCACTAGCTTCACAAATATATATAAATGGTTTATGACAAAACATACCTGAGGCAAACATTTCAGTAAACCAGCATCAAATTTTTGAAGACCAGGGCAACGCATCATCAACTTCTGGCCACCAATGCATGCAAAGAAAGTTGAATTACATCCAACGACGTACAATCCATCATCAATTTGATTACATGACGTTTCTAAAAAATAAGGCAATTCAAAAAAAGCTTTTAAGATTGATAGAAAAATGTTTTAAAATCTTGCCATTAGTTGAAGAGCTTGATTTAATATCATCTATTGTTGCTGATAGCTTGGGGATGACTGGTTGCTTTTTGCATTGTGGTAACTGTTCCTAAAAATCATTCACTATTTATTGGTTACCCATGTCTTCAATTACAGCTTTATCAGGTGTACCTTCTTGACACAGCGCTGAAGACTTTCTTGATAAGCATATTCTGGAGGACAGTGAAGAGTAAAATCTTGATTTTGGATGCAAACTAAGAAGGAAGACGAGCATGGTCCTGCTTCAAAAACACCATTTGTTTTATCAGCGCATGGAAAATCTAAAGGAATAGTCTTTAGCCAATCTTTTTCTCGTGCTAAAAAAGTTTAACTGGATTGTAGCTACTTGAAATTCTTTAGTTTTTATGTACCAGAGTCAGTTAATCCAAGCATCGTTACGCTTTCTTTTTGATCTTCATGTCCTGCACAAGAAGCTACATGTCTCTGCAAAAGCAATAAAGAATTGCACTGTAAATGAGAAGCGTCAATCAATTTGAACAAAGATAGAAACTTACAGCTTCAACGCATTTTTTACTTATATGGTCGAATTTGAGCGGATCTATGCAATATAAAATAAAAGTCGTCTCGTTGATGCAAGCATAGCTCTGAGATGTGCAACCAATTGAATTCATTCCATTCGATTTCCCTTTACAACTTACTGAAAATAATTAAACTTTACTTAAATTATCAATATTGGAATTGCAATTAAACTACCTCTTGAAACGTTCATATCTCTATTTTCTTCAACACCATTTATGTTATCTGTATCATCGTTTGTAGCTACATCACCATTTTCGTTGCTTGGTGTCGACACTATCAGATAAACAATTGGCATCTTTAGATTATCAACTTTTTTAATTTCACTTTGGTTTGTTTTAAAAGTACTGTCTTCATTTCCTGCTAGTGATGGTCCCGTTCCATTCATGTCCATTTTCATCTCTTGTCCAATACTGAATGCACAAGCTGGTACTAATGACTGAAACATGCTTATATATGAGTTTATCCAATCTAATTGAATATTTTTCGTAGTCAGTTACCTCTTCAAGACATTGCTCCGTGATATTGTCGAATTTTAAATGTAGCGGACATGTATACTTTTCCAATTTTCCATTTATGCAATATTGGAAATTAGATGAACATCCAGATGAGACTAGACCATCTTTCTCTTTTGTGCAATCAATTTCTGAACATACTATTTCTATAAAAATCATAACAAATGTCGGATATGAAAATAATGAAGCAAATCAACAACGTACTTTTCGCCTCTGTTGTATTCTGTTCGTTACATGCTTTAATGAATTTCTGTAATCAAACATATTGTCATATTTTCGAAGCGAGATACCATTTATTATTTATGACAAACAGAATTTTTACCTCATCGCGACAGATTTCCAACTCTTCATCGTACATTAGTGGTGGATTACAGCGGTATTGAGCAGCTGCGCCCGAAGTACATACTGTAAATTCTGGTGTACATCCTTGTGCATAAGTACCATCAGGTTTGTCTTCACAAGTAGATTCTGAAGAATAAACATGTTATTACAACCATTTATTGACTGAAATTAAAGTTCATATTACCAAACATCTGTGATGGAACTGGCGCCATTTTTGTTCGTTGGATTGAATGATCCTGACAAGTTGATACTAGTACCTATAATTAGCAGTATGATAATAGTATAATCAATCTTAATCTACAAAAACTGGAAAACGTAGAAACCTTTGGTAAGCATGTCTTGCTTCTGACATCATACTTCAATGCGTCTGGACACTTAAAGTGAACCGGTTTTTCTGACAAACAAAGGGTCACTTTTTCCGAGCATCCCTCGACGTAAACCTCATCTGGTGCATTGACACATGAGAATTCTAAAATACACGTAAAAACTGATTAGAACTGACTATAATAAACAAAACTTGCTTTGCTAACAGTGACAGTATCCACCAGAAGACAACATACTTGATCTTGTTATCTCTGTTTCTGAACTATCTTCCTTATGGCTTGATGTCGTATCAACTGCATTAGCCATCTCTCCTAATTTTGTCATGTTTGATAAAGCTTGCGAATCCGTTAAATGCAACCCAATATTCGACTTCACCTCTGATGTTTGCTTAAGAGCAGAAATTTTGCCGCAAGCAGCTACAGAAACCTGGAACAAGAAAAAATTTTTTAAGCACTTTAAATAAAAAGTCCAAAAATAAAAAACGTAACGTACGCCTTCCATACAGCGCTTTTCATGCTTATCGAATTTTTGCAATCCAGGACAGCGCATCGGAATAATGCTACCATTCACACACGCATAAAACTCGCCAGAACAGCCCTTATCGTATAATCCATCCACTTTATTTTCACATGACGGAACTGATAAATACAAGAAATAAAATTTGTTTTACTTTTGATAATCATAATTAATTAACTCATTGCTAACTTACATTCCATGATAGAAGGGGGGTGAATAATTGGTGGAAGATTATCAAATTCCAATTCAGTCTCATTTAACACCACAGAAATCGCTTTTTCATATCTACATGCGTCAACGTCTTTCTAAACCAGATATTTTGTTAAATTGCTTTGGCAATTTTAAGACTAAATTAGTTTCATGAAAAACTGTAGTTTTCTTTGAAACTTGCCGAGTCTAGACACTGAATAGATTTTTCATCATATACCAGATTCTTGGGACATATCATTGGAATAACACTTCCACCTACACAGGCAATAAATTGCTGAGAACATCCTTGACCGTATATGCCATCTGGTAAAAATTCGCAAGAAAAATCTAAAAATGATATCTTCCGTCAATTTCATAGAAATTAATGGACTAAAAACTGATTGCATATATTTTACCAGATAATGACTTCAGTGGTTGTTTTGTACTTATAGGAAGTTCTATAGTCAGAGAATGTTCCTGTTCGTCTGAATCAAATTCTAGTAGTGTTTCTTCTAACTTCAGTGGTACAACGTCCTGCAATACGTATTAAGTACTAACAGTAATATCAACTTCGATAATCTAAACTAAAAACTGGTAATCCATAACCTGTGATTTGCAACACTTAGCCTCAGCATCAAATACAAAATCATAAGGGCACCGCAACAAAGCTGCGTTGTTATCTATGCATGCATAAAATTCCGTCGCGCAAGTGTCTCCATATATGCCATTAGGTATTCCAAGACATGAGATAACTGAAAATACACAAGAAATCAATTAAAGTAAAAGTGATGCAAATTAATAAGACCAACATACTCAAAGATTTCGGTTGTCCCAGCCAGTGATCAAGAGTATTATCAACAATTAGTATTGCAGAAGCCTCTTCTGCTTGCTTGGTTTTCATGAAGGTCTTTGCTGATTGCACTAGAAGCGGTATATTGTGGTGAACAGTGTGTTCCTGGGAACATTCCAACATTTCAGCCTGCAATTAATAAGTATCAGAAATTCAATCCTCCTTCTGTCATTAAAACTCCCAAAAATATGTTAATATTTACCTTAGGCATACAAGCTCTGGTCCTTAAATGGAATTTTTCTTCCCCACAAGTAAGAAATGAAAATTTTATTCCATGAAGACAAACGAACAAGTGATTGGAACATCTACCACCGTGAATACCATCTTGAAGATTCTCGCAGGAGAATTTGTCTGCAAATCATTCAGCGCTCTAATTTCAGTCTTCATTTTAAAAAAATATAAAAAGCAGAAACCTTGAACTGAAGTCATACCCTCATTCTCGGTTTCAGAAGGAACGAAATTTTGTTCTTCTGCGTTTTCTAGTAGAACTTTCTGCTGGGTGAATGTTTTATTGCATTTTGCTATTGTACTCTGGAAAAAAATTTCATGCAGTTAAGTTAACGAATATCATAAAAACTGGGAAGTCGTTACCTCTTGCAAACAAACTTTAGCTAACGCATCGAACAAAAATCCTTTAGGACATCGCAACATTACAGTTCGCTCACCAAAACACACAGCAACATCTTCTGCGCAATTTTCACCAAACAATCCATCGACATGATTTTTACATGAATACGCTATAATTGAAAATTAATAATCATTTATTAAAGCTGAAAAGGACAAAAGTTTTAGTTTATTCAATATATGATTTCTTACTAATTATATTTTTTGGTGTTTGCTCAAATAAAAGCGGCTGAGATGACTGGGCATATGACTTGGAATTGAAAGTTTTGTTTGCTATATTCAGTGACTCAGAGAATGATGACGGTGGCTTCGATGATGTCTTCTCAGTTTTTGGCTTAGAAATTGGTAAATGTGGTATGCGACCTTTTTCTAACTCACTTATCATTGTTTTTTCTTTAAAATTACATTCTTCGACTTGATCCTACAAATGAGAGTCAAAAATCACAAAAAAAATCAATTCAAAACAGTAAATAGTAAATCCTTGAATTATTGCACAAGAACTTACGGCTGGCAGACAAGCTTGACTTTTCGTATCAAACATCATTGGTTCTGGACAAATAGAATATATTACAGCTTCACTAAACAAACAAGCAATACCCATCGCTGAGCAACCTACAGCCAAGAATTTTCTATCTTGTCCTACACATGAAAAATCTAAAAAAATCCATTTTGTTAACCAAAATCTATGCCTAAATACTTGCATACATTAAATCTGAACTTACTTTGCAAGTCGACATTACCATTAATTTTGCTCACCAAACGATTCGAATCATTTTGAGGTGGAGAGTTATTGCAAATCTGAAGCTCACTTCTGAAACTATCGATTATAAAATGACACACTTAGTAAGCAGACAGAGATGCTGCTTCGTTTAAATTAAGCAACATAAAAATTTATCACTTTGGAAGCGCATTATACCTTTCAACACAACGTGACTTTGTGGTATCTAAAATGAGTGTCAGTGAACAGGACATTATGTAAGGTAACTGGTTAGAGCAGACCAAGTAGTCTTCCATACAACCAAAAGAATACAATCCATCACAATGTTTGGCGCAGAAGTCCAATAGTTCTACAAACGACACAAATATTTTTAATCGCGGCAAAGGGTACATAACAATAAATAGTTTCATTGTTGAAGCATCCAAATTACCGCTATGGTTAGGTTTTATTCCAGGTACAAGATCTTGACTGTTAACACATTTTCGTATTTCGAGAGTGGCCTGTATTTCTCGTGAATGCTGGCTCTCCACTGAAGTAAAGATATTCCATCACTATTATTTTGAAATGAAAATAAAGTAAATCGCAAGCGCAATAGTACGACAGTAAAAAGATCATACTTGTTGTTTGGTGTCGTATTTTATCCCCTGACATCAACAATGTTGAGCCGCATATACCATCTGAATAATTCAAGTATTCAATTCTGAGATTTTCTTTATCAACAACTACTCTCTATCAATAATTTACAATAGATTAAGTTGACTTAATTCTTCAATTCTTCCGAGCAGTTATTAGTGCTATAAAATTAAATATTAAACTAAAATTTAGGCTGAAACTGATTACTTTTTGAGCATCGATTGGCATCATTCAGTCCCTTCACCTTGACATTTGAAGAGATAGGTAATCCGCCTGATGATACTTCTAAAAATGTTCCATTTTTATCTTACTATTGCGAAACTTAAATCAAAATTTGCAGACAGTCTTTAGAAATGTCTGACTTCTCTAGGCTCGCATTTCTTGATTCATATAATGATAATCGATAAATACCTTTATGAACAATCTTATCGCCACTTTAGATTAATTGGATCAATTCATTAGTGACAATAGTAGAGTCTAACTTAGAAGCAATTCCATCTTCAACATTTATGAAAACTATACCCAACTAAATTAGCATCTAATACCTTTTATGTTTGTCGGTAGAAAAACTATGTAAAAACTTCAAGAACTGTAACAAGAAACCGACCAGTAACATACCAAGAAACAAAAGCAGTAACGTAAGCACTACTCTGCCTTCCATCGCACAACGCCTCATGTCAACCTTCAACTCTTTCCAATATTTTAGCACACAACATAAAATACCAGGATTAAACTGGTCTATTATATATTCCAGTATTTTTTACGGCGCCATTTAGACTGGTCAAAAGTAATCAACATTGCATTATTCGAAAGTAATGTGCCGAAGAAACAGAATACAGACTGCATCATTCATTTATGACCCATAATTATTCCTTCACTTTTGTAATACAATTTATGCGGAAGACTACTGTCAACACTTTCAATCACTTACACAGATGGGATTCTTGAAACAAAAGGTATAGAGGATACTTATGTACCAGTTCATGAAACTTTTGGGTTCATGAAACCGTTTTTTGGTAATTTGCGGACTCGTCAACAAGCTGTATCGAATGCTGCGCACAAAGATACTATAATGAAACCAGAGTATTGATTCTGTTATATTAATAAGTGTATCAACTTTGTCTAGCACCTCATTGTTAAAATCTAGCCATGGAATTTGATGTAATTCCAAACCACTAACTCGAATGGTACTTTAGCAACAATGCGTCCAATTTTAATAGCATGAATTAAGTAGCAGAGAAAGTAATCACTTTTTAAATTTACAATGCGAGACGTCATATCAATAAGAAAAAAATTCCTCTCTTCAGACTCTACAATCTTTACATGACACGTGTGGTCTATATTCATGATTAGAATCATATGTTCCGTCTCAAATATAAGATTAGAACGTGATGACTTCCGTTATTGTTTATTTCATAAAGCAATCTTTTACCGATCGTTATGACTTATTGGTTAATTTATTTCGTATGACAGGACCAATTCTTTATGTCTCCCAAATTGATACTTGCCAGTTTATATTGTAATTGAGGAAAAGTATCAATAAGCTTGCCTTCAATGTTATCAACTATATACTTCATATCACTATGCAAACAATCAAATGGTAGATCTAGAACACATTAAACGCCCAGTTTGCAGCCAATTCTTGCGTATGAGATGCTTGTAAGTTAGATAATAGAAACTGTGGTGCAACACTTCCACGGACACATTATAACCAATACTATGCTGACAAAATGCGTGACTTCGTCATCCTGACAATTGTTTTTCTTACTTGCACATGAACCCGATAACTGGGTGGTCCAGATCATTAGTATAAATACAGCACCCGTCTTGCTCAACATCCCCAACTTATACAAGTAACGAAAGATTATGGTTCCATCCAGTATTGTTCCACTCATCATTGTGGCAACAATCTTTATTAATGAAAAACAAGGTTCATATTAAAACATAATGCTTTTATTTCATATTCAAATAGTATATAAGGTAGAAAATTTATAAGACGCTCATCCAGTATAAATTTTATCAATCTCGTTTGCTTCACATGACCCCTTAAAAAATATAGTCCCAGCAGATAAGCCATTCCTCATTAGCTTAGAGTGATGGAACTTTGTCACATTTCCATTTATCAAATGTTGAAAATGCATCTTCTCATATGCATTAAGTTGAACGATTTTACTTATGAATTAATGCACCATTATTTTGTAACCAGTTTTCTAAATACTAGTAAATCTTTACCTTTTAATCAGTTAGACGAAGAATTCAAGGATACCTGACTGAATAATCTTCAGATGGAAAAGTTAATTTCTGCTAATGAAAACCAATTCCTTTGTAAAACCCAAACCCATTTCATGCAATGCTGCGCTAACCATATTGCTTAACGCACTTTTAATTTCAGTAAATGCGCATATGCCATTTGTTATTCCACCGTCGATACCTGGATCATTTTCACATAGAGCAAGAGATCAACCAATCTCTGACAATGATGATGAACCCAAAGGATGTCCCCCTGGATGCGTCGATGGACCAAGCTGTACTGAAGAATGTAAATGTCAAAACACTTATTCGATTGCAGACGGAATGTGTAACCCACCAGCTGATTCTGAAGTAGCTAAACAATGTACATCCTGGTACAATCGATGTCCAATGTATGAACCTCTTCATTTCTAATTTCCAATAAGTATGCATCAACTGCAATCTTTAATTAAACATATCTAAATTTTAATGCCCTTGACAACTTTATGAACGAAATTTTTTATGCATTTTTTTTGGAAAAACGAAGGAGACTCGATTAACAGTTCATCTTCCTATGAAATATTTTCAGAACATCCGAAATTTAAAAATTAAACAACTTTGCTTCTTAATATTTTTGTATGCAAAAGCCAAGTATGTTACTCAAAAACAAATTTATTTTCGATCAATTACCCATTTTATTATACTTGTACAAAGTTTTCTGGCATATTAAATGATCCTTAACTTTGAAAATATACTACTCAATGATACACTTCGTTTTTAAGCATTTTGTAATGATCCTTTTTACACAACTGATAAAGTTTTAATCCAAACTGCGAAAAATCTTTGCACCTCCAAAAGACATGATTCCAATATTATTAATCTGATGACAGGAGTTCAACACGTATCTATGTCTTACTAATACATTCCAATAAAATTAATTTTGCTCCAATATGAAATTTTATGCCAATTTCGCAATCTTGAAATGAGAAAAATTGACAATTTCTCTTGGGTTTTATTTCCTTCACATCAGAAGTAATGGATGAACTGACCAGATAAGAAGCTTATCCTCAAAAGAAAAAAATTTCAACGCTTCATATTAGACGATGATAATCATTGTCTGGATCAGCCTTTAACTACTTTGCAATAATAAATAGGCATCAAATACTAGATATAATTTCCCTTAAAGTATCGAAAAACTGAATAATTTTAACGATGTTTATTTTGAATAAAACAATTAAATAATATTTGCTATCTATCTTTCATCAATGCTTTCACTGATGAAAGATGACAAATATTAGAAATATTCAGAAACTTAGAACTCATATTTCTGCATGCTTGACTGCTTTGTACTGGACATAATCTAATCGTTTCATTTCGCTTTTGTTATCAAAAAAATAAATGAGATTTGCATTACTGAACTAACTTCACCCATATACTCCTTCAAATATGAGATCAACTCTAGTTTAAATTTCATTGCAATATATCATGCAAACAATTCTGCCAAACGTTGATTCCTCACTAAAGTACAGTCAAAAAAGTTGACCACTTCAAATAAGAAACAAATAAAAAGCGGTTATAGCATAAACTTACCTTTAAAAAATCTCTATATCGTGTTCAATGCTAGGAACCTTAGCAAAGACACTTATTTGTAATAAAATTAGTCAATCGTTACTTTAGGCAGCATCGTCTGAACCCTGGAATTTCTAAAAAGAATTCAAAATCATTACTAAAATCAGTAGTATATTAGACAAACTGATTACAAAACGGTAGCCAGTAACAATATACCATCTTACAGAAGGATGCAGAACTGCAGAGATAACAGTTAGGAAAATTATTAAGCCAGAAAACCACCTATCAAAAATGTACCTAGTGAAGATAAACCAACCTGCTTTAAGTAATTCGTCTTCAAAAACCCTCTGTCCAGAATAACTGATCTACCATATTGTCGGCTCAAAATAGCAGCAGAAGTGAACTGAACAAGCACTGTATCGTAGTATAATGTCGTTCAGAAAGACTACGAAGACATATCTAGCCTTAATTTTCGTTTATAAATAAAATTTCGAAATACAAAATGTCCCAAAATCTCATTTGAATTTTAGCCAGTAAAAAAGTTACAATAAGATTTTGAAAGCAGTCAGAAATTTGTTCTTTCAACTTCCAGAATTGCTGCCGGTCAAGCAAATCATTAGCACCAGGGTAAATCTGTGTATAGCTCAATAATTGAAATATGCGATGCAGGAATAATGTCCAATTTTTTTTCGACAATAACAAATTTCAAAATGTGTTAGTGAGAAAATCACTACAGCCACGTGGAACCGAAATAGTTCGCACACTAATTTTTTCAAAAAATATGACAGAATGAATAACATTAACTGCGTGTGAAAATATTAAACAATCATATGAAATTACGAATATAAGAACGACTGAATAAGTATCGTTAAATGACAACGTAGCAATATTCAAATACAGAAGTTAATGCTTCAAAAATTACAGTTGAAACTGGACAGTCTATACCAGCTGCAAAAAAGTTATAAGTACTCTCAAAGTTGATCATTAGAGTGACTACGTAACATTTCGAAATGTCATTATGAATCAATTCATGGCACGCTGATTTTTAGATACTCAAATTTTTTCTGGAATACGGAAAAAATTGCTAAATTAAAGTATGAACAGCAACAGCATCTGCATGCTTTTAAGAATGATGTACATAAAATAAGCTCAAAAATATTATCCTATACACAAGCTGATTCACGACAGAAACTGAGTAGTATAGTTTTTAACCAAAAGTTTAATATGTCGTACAACTACACCTCTGTAAGCATAACTAATCTTTTGCTTCCAAATACCTTATTTCTTTGCTGCATGCGGTATGGGATTGAATTCAATTTAACTCTCAATAATTACTGACTAATTTTTAACAAGAAGAGAATCCCTCTTTCCCTTTTCGTCATAAAAAAAGGTCAAAAGAGACAAATTGAAAATAAAAAATTATTATAGCGTTACACGCCATCAATGAATTAAAAACTGTTATCTAATAAACGCTTTGGAGCTCTTTAACAGTTCAAAAGGTAAAAAATAGTAAATAATACAGATCCTTGATTAACAACCCCCATTGAGAGTTTCAGGTGAGGCCTTTAGAGCCAAAGCAAATAATAGATGGTCACTTTCAGGTCTCAATAAAGTGATCTTGCGAGCGCAAGTCTGAATTAATCGATCAGCCGTACTACTAGCAGCAAAAACATACAATACACCGCTGGGTATAGTGACAACGCCAGCAGCACTTTTATCAGAAAGATAATTGATAAGTGTCCGAATACTCCTATCACATGCTACAGCTATCATTAAACTAAGATGGTTGCTTGACGAATGAATTAATCGTTCTTCGAGTGCTTCTTGACTGACTAAAGGCAGTCGCTGAGTAATATGCAGTTTCAACGCACTACCATCTACAGGATCACGAAGTAGCTTTTGGAGCAAGTGTTCCGTTCCTGAGATACGATGCAGGCGAATTGCGTATTCAGTCTTCTTCAATATGATGAAACCCTGCCAAGTTGGTGCAATTTTCCGCTGTAGTTCATCAATGTTATCAATTTCACCGTCAGATGCTACACTTTCAGGATTTTCAGGTGGTGTATGTGGGCCTTTACTACGTTTTTTTGCAGGAGGGGAAACTGTCTGCCTTTTTTTACGATCATCCTTGAGATCATCTCTGTAACATATGAAAAACTTCTGAGATGTATAGCTATGAAAAAAGTTATTCAAACTTCTAAAAAACTTTATGTAATGAAGTGTTTCATTAATGAAATAACTAACTTCGCAAAATCAACGATAATGCACCGATCTCTTCCACCCAAAGGAAAGCCCTTCATAGCACGGCAAGCATCCATTGCTGCATTTTGATCCGTAAAACGGATATAAGCAAAATCAGACCCCTCACGATAATCTAGGCGATCAATAAGTCCATAACGATCAAACTCCTAAAAATGTATTAAAACTTGCACTGCATTTTTATTCCTTAAGAATAATTTCGAACATAAACCACGAAAACTCTCAATAGTTTCTATATCGTGAAATTTTGGAAATATTAAATTCACCTCAGCATACCATGTATAGGAAGGAAGTAGTAATAAGGTAATGAAATCTTTAGTTCTAAACTTTCATCACAGAAGTGCAAAACCTTTGCTAAATATTCTGCCGAAGCCCATGGTCCAAGACCGCCTATCCACAAACGATTAGATGGTTGTGATTTTCCATAGCCGATTTTGCAGCGACTTGTGCCCGGTCTTATTGGACGATCATGCTCATTGGCCTTTGCGTTCATTGACTGTTCCAAAGTCTGAAAATTTAGCAGTGAGTTGTTTGCATATTTTCCTATTATTCAAAGCAATTAATTGATTTTTTTAATGCAAACTAACCTCAGATAAAAAGGCGATCTCCATTTTTCTAACTTAAAAGTTGGTTAAGGGATCACAATCGATCAAAAACTATGATTTAAAAACATAGTTCAGACATAAATGTAAGAATGAATGGGCTTAACCAATGGATGAAAATATGAATGAAGGATAAAGGCAGAAGAATATTCTGAAGAACTACACCTGGAAAAGTACAAAAGCATAAGCTGCATTAGTTTCTGGAGGAGTTTTGATATCAACGTCTTCAACATTCCCATATTTCTCGAATACACGACGAATTTCAGACTCCCGTATATCTGCAGGCATATTCCCTACGAAAAGTGTCCTTGTTGCATCATTGTCATCTTCCTTAAGATTCCACGTACCATTTTCCTCACGACGTCTAGTTGGAGATTTTCTGATAATAAACCCTTCATAAGGACCACTTTTGCAAGAAGCTGGATGAAAAAAGTGAAACCGAAGCAATTTACCTCCTTAAGGGATCTTTACGCTCACGTTCTCGTTCTGCTTGAAGTGCACGATTATATCGGTCAGGAATATATTTTCCTTCCTGATCTCGAATGATACCTGCAGGGTCCAGATGGAGTCGCTTTCCAAGCAATTTCTGTAATCGAGATAACATAGTATGCCGAATTGTGCGCGCCGCTTCTGGTCGTTCAAAATTCACGTATGCAAGGCGTTGCTCATCTCCAGGATTTCGTACTATTTTTATCTGGAAAGCAAGTTTAGAAAGTTTACAGTGAAAACTTAAACTACCATAATACTTGTGCTAATCAATTACTGATGGCCAATATTAGAGAAATCAAGGTTACTTACCTCAAATGGAGCATATCGACGGAATTCACGCTCCAATATATCTTTTATTTCATCTTTGGTAATTTTGTTATCGAAGTGAGAAAAACGAAGGTTCATATATTCTTCTGGCGAGTGACTACCAAATCGATCTCTAAGTTGCAAAATAAAAGCCTTAAAACAACTTGCTCAACAGTTTTAATTAGCTAACGACAAAACTGTGTTTTCAGCTAAAAAAATATTGCAACCAAAATATACTGTTTGAAAGCTATAAGAACCAAACAAATACCCAGCCACTTCATACTAATTCCACTATTCTGTTATGCTATTTTCACTGAATACATTTGATCACCGAAATCAATTAACATTACACTGGAATGGATTTATTATGCACGAAGTCATATAAGAACTCATGTCCCTTGCGAGCTAACTGAAGAGATACTGAATACTTGTTACATGTTCTAACGTACGTAAATACTCAAAGCCATTACATAATTCGTAGAATGTATGAAGAGTGGATACTGTAGAATTCAGTGCCCTAAATCTAAAAAGTTTTGAGAAAAAAAGGAACCTGTAGAATGAAGAAAGATTAGCATCGGGATCACTGCTATCTTCATGTCGAGAAGGCAATCGCTGAATCGATCTGGATTGTCGACCATTGATATTGTTATAACTTGAACTACGCTGTTGACTGCGCGTATCACGTCCGTTGCAATACCTCGTGCTCATGCCTAAAATACGGAAAACTTATCGGAATAGGTCTATTATTACAAACACAATGTGCCACATAAAATGGCACTGTACTAGTAATATCCAAGGACACTTGGAAAACCACTATCAGCTCATGTCTAAACTCCAATTTTCCCCGTTTCTCTCACCTTTTCATATCGATCTATGCTATGCAGGTGCTCTTCTTCTTCCGCATCTCTTCAGAAATTGAATTCTGGTGCCTTTCCAAGAGTATAACAACACCAAAGGCCATGTATATTTATCCTTTTCTTCTCTACGCATCTAATAAACACATTTTCAGCATGGTAGGAATAGTAGAATGAGTAATATGTGTGCATATTTGCTACTCTCCATCTACATCTTCCATCGATCAGAACTGCTACACGTCTTTTTAAAAGAGACGTGCATCCTTTTTCACCGCAGTACACTTGTTTCAGCACCCTCTACTCTATTTCAGGCCACCGAGACGCAGTCCCGCTCTATTTTACCACAGCAAACAGCAAACTTTACGCATTGCACTTTCCCCCTAATTCACTTGATTTCTGCGCTCCGAGACCCTAATAACACACGACAAGCGTTGCAAATTATTCTTCTCATCTCTTCTCTACCCATCTACACTCTCATTTCAGCAAATATATTTCATCGTAACATATCATAGAGTACAATTACATCTGTCTCACTCTGCAAACAGCATCTCGTTCGATCAGTGCATGCAGTTTCTCTCTTCGCGTTGTCAATGTGACTTGCATAATATAAAAGAGGAAGGGATTTTGCAAAGATTAAAGATCAAATTGTGTTGCTACAGTATCGAACATTTAGTACAGTCCTGAACTCCTCGCAATAGCAGGAGAAATATTAGTTTATATGCAGAGAAATAATTCTTGTAATCTCAATATTTGTCGTCATTAGAGCGTCTAATACTGATAACATCATGCACAACACAAAGTGTTAGTAATCATATCATTAGGTACAGATCGGTCAACACTATTAATACTCTTTGATCAGACACAGTGTGCATGCATCAATTGTTCACTGCAACAGTTTTTTCCCAAAATACTCTAGATCGATTTGATAGCACTTAAAGTTTTATTTAACTACATTCTTGTGATGGAACCACTCTGTTATAAAATCTGGTATGCATGCAGACAAGAAGTGGTGTGCTATTTGTGGGCTATCTAAATACGTAAATGTAAGCCTAATATGCAGAGTTGGCATGGACGATTTAAAACTGGTAGTCAAGTAATTCTATCAGTATTATAATTAATGAAAAAAGATAGTTCAATGAAGTAGTATGAGTTATGTGAGCTTTGTGCAGAAACACTTCATAGATAGTAATAAGTCAGTGATCAAAGGAAGCATTAATTATTTTAAATTGAAATCACGACATTATTTTTGATGTATTGTAACAGCAGATGATTTTCAATATCTCCACATTTACAAAAAGTTATGGTGATGAAGCATTTCGAATGTTTTTATTGAATTTCAATCTTCTTGATTTGTAGCGTCGATTTTGGAACCAAATTTTAATCTGATTCGTTGTAAGATCTAATATCATTGCTAGTTGTTCCCTCTCATCTACACTCATATAATTTTGCTGCTCAAATCGTCTCTCCAAAATAGCTACCTAAAATCACACCTATATTTCATGCATCAAAAAGCTATATTATTAATTTTCTCCGCTATCAGTTTTGAATTATTAGCAGAATTCTATTCAAGTATTTTAAAATAAACCATTGATATTGATGCTCTAATTTTATTTCTCCTTCTATTGAGGCAGAAAACTCAAATATAAAACACAAAATTGGAGAAAAATCGAGTAAAGATGAATCTTAGAGCAGTTATAATTTTAAGTAGTGGAGCAAAGATGAATCTTAGAAGCAGTTATAATTTTAAGTAGTGGAGCAAAGATGAATCTTAGACCAGTCATAATTTTAAGTAATGAGCGCATAACCTGCGACTGCGAAAATATGGTGCGTCGCTTTCGTCGCTTTAATTGTTGCTTGATATTTCCATGCTCCACATTACTGTTATTATTTTCAGTATGATTGGTTACAGAACTCATATTTGATTGTGCATTTTGATTTATATCTGAAAGTTTCAGATAAGGCAGTCATGTTTTACTTTTGTTCATGTAATAAATCACTTATAACAGACCGCTTCATTCTATGTATTTTAGAATGTCCTAATAATTGTACAATTGTCAAACTTTTTACATGTCTGGATATCAACTCCATGCACTGCATAAATCTGATGTCAGTACTTTCAATTGAAAATAATCTTTGTTAATTTTATACCACGTAATCAAGTTTTTTAATACAATTCTATTTTGCCAAATATTAGGTTAACATGTAAGAATTAATACATTTACGAATGACAAAGATTATAACCACAAAGCATGGAAATTTGTATGTACCAGCAATTAGCAGTAATATTTAATTTTTTCTGTAGTACATAATTTTTGCTGTAAAGTTATTGTCCCCCCACTGAATCATCCATTACTAACTATTAGGGCGAAAATTTTGAATTGAGCTCAGTAGTAATTTGCAAGATATTCCATTGCTCTGGACCAGATCTATTCAACTAATACTATAATACTGCTGCAGACAATGAAAAATAGAATGAAATCGTCATGGAAAAACTATGATTAATCTAGAGCGAAGATCGTGATTTTGTGGAAAAACGCTGTTTCAGATAATAGCTGAACTAAAATTGAGATAGTAAACACTAGTTTATAAGGAAGGAGCGGCTGGCTGTATTTGGGCAATAAGATTATATTTTACATTGATTATAATTATTACAATATTATTGTTGTGAAAAGTCCTGTTCTTCTAGAGAATTACATTGGCATTGGATTTGAAACTAAAAATTACGACAATGAAAGATAATCACAAGAATTCTACGTACAAATAACTGATCATTCACAATATTTTGACAAATATACTAGTTGTGAGTTGTTTTTGACAAGGAATAAATATATAATCTGAAGGTAGCAATGATTTTCCAGACGAGCTAATAAGATTTTGTTTGTGCTAAAAGTTCCTTATTTTCTAGACAGTCGCTGTTCATTGAGGTCACATTAATGCTGAGCATAAGTTCTGTTCCTGATAAGGATCAAACTAATTATGTTTGCGAAGATAAATTGTATCCAGAAGAAGACTTGAAATGTGGTTCTGGTTTCGAGGATGAGGGTTGTTCAGGATCAAGATTACATCAATTCTGTGCCCATATAGGTTGGTTTTGTTTCTGTAAAGACTAGGCTATATTTTTTTCTATAGTTTGGTTGTCAGAGATTTGTAAGGATAATTAAAACGAAATTCTGATTGTTTAGACAATTATTGCTTACCTCTAGGATAACATTCATTTTGTGGTTGTACTGAATAGTTGTGTTGTTGATGAAGATCAGATGATTTCAGTTGTGAGGAGGAATTTTGATTACTAGAAGAATTGAGATAGAGTTTTGGTTGCGTACACATCTGTTGCTCACTTTGAGAATAGCGCTCAATCTCTGGTGGTATTGAAAAGTCCTGTTCATGGTGAGGATTAGACATGAAGTTTGATTGTGAGTGTGGGATAAGTTGCAAAGAGGAATTGTGATAAGCTTTTGGTTGTGAGCACAGGTGTTGTTCACTCTGAGGAGGATACCTATTTTGTGGCTGTATTGAAAAATTCTGTCCTTGGCGAGGATCAGACGAATAATTTGATGGTGAGAGTGAAATATGTTGGGAAGAAGAGTTCAAATGAGGTTGTGCTTGTGTACAGGTATGTTGCTTATTTGGAAGATTACACCAGTTTCGCGGCTGTACTGGCGGCAAAGTTTGTTCTAGTCCTCTATTAAACCAGTATTGTGGCTGTAAGCATGAATTATGTTGAGATGAAGTACTGAATTGACGTCCTGATTGTACTGGGATGTATTGTTCAGTACTAGGATTACAGTTGCACTGGTGTTTCGGTACAGTAATTAACTTTTGTTCTTGTCCAGTGCTCGACCAATATTGTTGTTGTGAGGGTGAGTTGTATTCAAAAGAAGAATTAAATTGACGTTCTGGTTGTATCGACATATGCTGTTCAAAATTTGTATTATAATTGCACCACTGTTTTCGTTGAGTGGTCAGGTTTTGATCCTGTCCAGTATGAGACCAATGCGATGGTTGTGAGAATAAATTTTGCTCGGAAGGGCAACAGAGATGACGTTCTGATCGTATCGGCATATATTGTCTTGCATTTGAGTTACAGTTAAACCACTGTTTGGGTTGAATCATTGAGTTTTGTTCTTGTCCACTGTGAAGGTAATATTGTGATTGTGGGAATGTATGATGTTGAAAACAAGAATTGCATTGACGTACTGATTGCATTGACATGTGTTGCTCAGCATTGAGATTACAGTTGCATTGGTGTTTTTGTAGAGTGAGTAACTTTTGTTCTTTTCCAGTATGAAGATAGTATTGTGATTCTGAGGGTGAATTATGTTGGAAAGAAGAATTAGACTGTCGTCCTGATTGCATTGGTATGCGTTCTTGAGCATTAAGATTGCAGTTGCACTGGTGATTTGACAGAGTGACTAATTTTTGTCCTTGACCAGTATTCGACCAATATTGTGGTTCAGAATTGTGTTGAAATGAAGAACTGACGTGTTGGCCAGTATATTCTTGTTGCATCAATACATCTTGTTCTACAGGATGAGTTCTCCAGTTCTGCTGTTGCACTGGTCTATTTTGTTCCTGTCCAGAATTGGAATAATATTTTGTTTGTGGAGGTAAATTCTGCATTAAAGAAGGATTGGAATGAACTCCTGATTGTAAGTACATATACTGCTTATCATAATGATTATACCAGTTTTGCTGCTGTATAGCTGCTGAGTTTGAATTCTGCTGTGAATTGTACTCACATTGTAACTGAGTGGATAAAATTTGTTTGACAGAGTCATTGGAACGAAATTCCTCTCTTCTGCGCAGGTGTTGCTCAGCATCAGAAGTATAACATTTCTGAGCTTGTGAAGGCAAATTTTGTTCTTGTCCAGTATTACACCAATCTTGTGGTTGTGGAGGTAAAGTATACTCAGTAGAAAAGTTGAAGCGTCGTTTTGGTTGTGTGGACAAGTGCTGCTCATTATGAGTACCATACCAGTTCTGTGGCTCTTCTAGTCTATTTTGTTGTTGTTGAGAAGTAGACCAGTATTTTGATTGCAATGATAAGTTCTCGTCATTAGGCAAATTGAAATAAGATTGTGGTTGTGCTAACAAATGTTGATCATCTTTAGTATCATACGAATTCGGTTCTTGTGCAAATGATATCTGTCCTTGAGATTTAAATTTGTCGAGTGATTCGGGGGGTAAATGAGGTTCTGAAGTAGAATTTGAATAACTTTCCAGATCCTGGAGTATATATTGTTCGGTACCAGAATTGCTCCAGCTTTGTTCCTGTGTAGGTAGATTTTGTTCCTGTTCTAAATTAGATGGGTTTTTTGGCTGTGAAGGCAGGTTTTTATTCCCTCTCGAGTTAAGCGATTCCTGTTGTGGTAGGGTATTTTGTTCTTGTTGTGGAGTTGACCAGTATTCTTGTAGCATTGATGTCTCATGTTCATCAAAAGGAATTGGTGGGGTGTTCAGTTCCTTGTCAAAATAATCAGCATAATCCTCAATCATCGGTGATAACGATGATTGATCTTGCGAATGAGAAATATCATCATTGCTTGTGTCTCTAGTCAGACTTGCAATGAGTTCTTCAAGTTCTTTATCCTGAAGTTTTATGTTCATCGATGAATGAGGTGGTTAGAATTCGATGCTTGACTTATTTTTAAAAAATGCACTTTTGTAGTCATTACGCGTTTTAAATATGTTCGAAAAAGTATATCAAAAAGCCTAATCACTTAAAAACAGTTTCTCCATGCTGCATTTCACTTTTCTATCATTGTTAATTATACGGAAACATAAAGCAGAATGAATTAAGAAGTTTGAATTCATAAGTTATCTCAAACACTTTTGAGTTATTGGAGTATGTTTACATTGTTAGTCAGTCGCAAGTAAATGTTAATGGAAAATTTGTTCTAGTATATTAGAGTTTTTATAAAGTCGAAGTCTGAAGGGGAAACGGAGAAATTAACTATCATACTAGTTTTTGTTACTTCTTACTAAAGTTAGACCAAACATTTCATCAATCCCGTATTAGAGTTAAGTACCAGAAATTACCGTTTGAAAATTCACCATGATACGTCCAGCTCACTTGTAACAATGATACTTGCATTAAGATTCAACTATTCTTATTTGCTTGTCAGTGAATGAATATTCAAATTGGAATAAAATTTCTTGCTGATATGCAAATTTGGTTCTTCACTTTGGCAGCTAGTCCAGGACAGCAGTGTAGTTTCAGCTATCATTTTAAATTACTGATAAAGTTAGGTGAATTATCATGTTCCTCATTACTTACAGCAAGTAGTTCCTGTATTGGAATCTTTTTCACTTTTTGGACTTTTTTCTACTTTCATGATCTTAAAACTAGATCGCATATAGCTGGAAAAATAAAACGAAATCCTAAGATTTTCTCAAAGCATTCTATAATTTGAACTCTTGAAAAAATTTATTAGTTGATGCCATATTGTGAGAATTAAATTAAAGGATTTTCTCTGGTATTTATAGCCGCTTTTGCTTCATTTACGTCTGTTGCCGTTATTCATATAGTGAAGATTACATTTTCACGCAGCAGTACTCGGATGATGTATGCTTGTAAAAGTTTTCCACCTCAGTAATAGCAAAGTTTTATTTTCCTTGAAAAAACAAGTCAGTTTATGATGCCGTGAATTTTGTACAGTTGTCGCATAAGGACAACTAACATTTTAGCATTAATAACGTTTGTTATTTCTAAGTTCTTGCTGGAAGTCATAATTCATAACAAAGGTTATTGATATCTTAGTAAACAATTATCGGTTTTATTTCATTTCAGTACACGATTTAAAAACTTCTTTAAAGAGTAGAAATTTTTTAGCAACAATAAAAATATCAGTAATCATTGTGAGTTCCATTCCGTTGAAGAAAAAAATTCCATTCTATTAAGCAGTTTTGTAATAATATATACAAAAATAAACATAGACGCGGTCATTAATGTTATTAATCCATCCCAGAGCTGAAGAATTTGTTGGGAAGTGCCCAATTTCAGATTCAACTGGTCCGTTTTGTACACTAAAACTATTTAGAATACGCTTAAATGAATAAACTTAAAATTAATTCAATTTCTAATGAGTAAGTTTATTGCTTTTAATAACAGGAATCTTGTAGCATCTTTGAGGCCAAATTTGAAACAGCTGAAATTGAATGACGACAGGATGAAACAAAATAATACGACAGTTTTGGTATCATGTAGGAACAAAGAAATTCATTTATACAATACATACTTTATTCTTGAAAATAATCGATGATTATATATATGATAAATAAGTCAAGTAGTTTATAGTTACCCGTTCGAATTACATCACTTTTGAATTTATCCACCGTTTTAACATAAGGATAATTTAAAATTACCTAGAAATGTTCTAGGGCATGCTGTTTAAAGCTATAGTCAGCGATAAGTTACCATTCACTTTATTCTAAATGGGGAAGAATCA